CAATTTTCACTATTATGCATCAAATATTGTTTGAAATATTTAAACAAAACTATTTTAAAAAGTAAATTTCAACACCCTGTATTTCGGAAGCCACGCATTTTTCGACCCATGTTTATATAGACTTTATGCATTAATTTTAAAAGTTCTATCCAATCTTAAAGTTATGCAACAATAAACTGAAACACCCTGTATAGTAATGGACAAAAGTAAAGTATATAGACACATTAATATTGTGCTGTATTTCTTTTTTAACTTGTTTTATGAATACACCAACCTGTATAGACTCTCTTCAATAAAAAATTAATTGAAAAAACTATGAAGGACAAAAATATATAGACAAAGCAAAACAATTATAGAAAAAAGAAGCAAAGTTCATTGAATTATAGAAAACCAACCATGTTTGTGTTAATATTTTGTAGCATAACCATTCGTCACCCTAATATTACAAGGTTGTATGTGACATTTTTAACTTTTTCGGTATTACGAAGTTCTATAGGACAATTACTATATTTTCAACTTAGAAGGAAACCTCTAGCTAACATAGAACCTTAGTTATCAACAGAAAATCAATGGTGCATGTTTGAAAATATATCTTTTGTGTGTACCAAAGGTGTATGTTGAACATAGAACTTTGTAATAAATAAATTAAAACTCAAGAAAATGTAACACCGTTCTTATGTTGCAACAAACATACAACCTTGTTATAATATTTTGACGTTAGTTTGGTAAGCGGATTAATTATAAAGAAGTTATTTGGAATATGCAAATGATAAAGAAAAATCTCCGGTGTCCTTTTGCATATACAGAAAAATATTTTCTGGTTGTTTCAACATAGCTTTTCCCAAATTACATAAAGACAGATGTGATACTCGCGAAGAAATTAAAGTGAAAAAACAGGAGATTAGGATGAAAGAGGAGGGGGAAAGAGCCTACATAAATCATTTAAATGAAATAGAATATATGAGAAACGAAAAAGATAAGGAAAGCGGAAAGATTCTATTATGTTTTGATATTGAAAATGTCCTGACGTGACCATAGGCAGAAAAAAAAGTAAAAAACTTTTTTTATAAACGTAAATTAAACGTTGACAATATAACTGCTTACTTGTCTACTACAAAACAAGTTTATTGTGCAGTGTGGACTGAGGCCTTACCTTACCGACATAATTTGGTGGAGTGATAGCTGCGCACCACAAAGCAGAAACAGTCTCATGAGTTATGCCCTAATCCACCTAATTCAAACCCACAAAAATTTACAACAATACAATGAAAATTTCAGTTCAGGGGCACTCTTGCATTCAAGAAGTAAATGCTATCCTAAGCTGCATAGAAAGGGTGTTAAGCAAAGTAGAATATTATTCCTCCAGTCTCACTTATTCGCGTTTTATTGAGAGTAAACCGACAAAAGCCTTACACAATATTTCGGATGAAGAAAGAGGACTTCATAGTCAATTAAACTATAATCAGATCCCATTTTCGAAAGTAGTATGTTTACAATTTTCTACAAACTTTTTTGAGCTGAAATATAAAGATTCTTTTGAGATGAAAAAAATTGCAAGTCTGCACCACCTACAGGTGGATTTTTGAGATGGATAGACAATACTACAAGTCTATTTTTAGGAACAAATAAAGCCTAACATGTAGCATCATTTTAAGTGCCAAAGTTCTATGTTACGCAGTTAAAGAAAATTGTTGACCTTTAGGAGTACCAAAGTTCCATGTTTTTTTAAATAAATAAATTTTTCGATACTGTTTTATTTTTTGGAAAAAAATTACACTTAGAACTCTTAAATTGACTTCTATGAACACCACATGTAAATTAAAAAAATTCATATATCTATATTAAGGCTTAAAACTAAAGCAATTTTTTAAAATCGATTTATCTCAAATAGGCACAATGCTACATGCAACGTTGTAATATTAGAGTAACGCATTATTATCAATCACCGCCTGGCATCGTCTCGGCATAGATTGTAGAAGTTTCTTGATATATAGTCATCAATCTGTATCCTCTTTTGCTCTAAAGTGGCAAAAAGTTCATCCTTGTTTGAATAATTTTTATCTCGTATTTGCTTATCTAGGTATTCCCATAGATTTTCAATGGGGTTTATTTATATCGGGAAACTGTGAAGGCCATTTGAAAACTGGTATTTTTCCATCCAGAAAGAATTTCTTTGCGAGATTTGAAATGTGTTTCGGGTCACTATCTTGCTGGAAGATTGATCTTAAGGGCATATTGTCTTCCATATAGGGTAACATGACATGCTTTAGTATGTCTGTGTATACAAACTTATCCATAATGCATCTATTCTATGTAAAGGTCCCATCCCAAACCCTGAAAAGCACCCCCAAACCATAATAGACCCGCCTCCATGTTTGACAGTGGGCGTCTAACGTAATGAACACCATCCGATCCAAACATATTGAATTTGGATTCGTCACTGAAACATACCCTCTTCCAGTCACAGATGCTCCAATCAAGATGCAACTGTGCAAATTGAAATCGGTTCTTACGGTTTTTCCTCGAGATTAGCGGCTTCTTACTCAGGCGACGTGCAAATAACTTCAAATCATTTAATCTTCTACTTATAGTTTTCGTAGAAACACTGACAATTCCTTTTGTCTCGATTTCGGCTTTTATTTGTCTTGGGGTTTTAAACGGATCTTTGGATGAAATTAATTTTATTAATCTAACTGATCTAGCATTTAGTTTTCTAGGCTGACCACTTCTCTTACAGGCTTCCAAGATACCTTTTTGTTTATATTTGTTCAATATTGCCCAAACTGCTTTATGCTTCAGCTTCAAATTTTTGGCAATCTTGACTTGATGTTGACCATCTTTGTATAACTCAATGATCTTAGTTTTCACATCGATAGAAATTTCTGCACCGCGGCATGGTCTTAAACTCAACTTATTCCACAATACTGAACACAAACTAATGTTGAAAAGAATTTGTCTACATATTTTTGTCACTCATAAAAAAGTGCTTATATTCAGACTTGTGTGGTGTTCATTGCAGATAATGTAAAAACAAGGAATTTAGTTTTTCTACTAATAAGCATTTGTTTATGGAGCACTGAAGTATGAATTCTTTTTCTAAAGGTATTTAGGTAAATATTCATATTGGTCTATATACTTTTGCCCATTACTATATATATATAATGTTTATTTTGTAAAATAAGCAGAATGACCATTATGTGATTGCATATAACTTTTATTTGTCAGTTTTGGTATTTGAGCATTCAGATCATCAAAGGATGATAAATAAGTAAAGATTATTATCTGCAGTTTCACTCTTAGCCCAATGGATTTCTGCAGAATTCCTTGTGAGTACAGATTGTTCAGAACCTTCAACCTTTATCCAAGCCTTTGGCGTTTTTTGCTGAAGGCACTGACTGAGGGTGTAATTTTGGGCCAAAGCTTTGGTCAAATCCTACAATATCCACCAAAATGCCAATATTCACTGACTACAGCATTTACTTTGCCTTATCAGCCTTACCCAAAATGTCTTATTCAAGAGTTCTTGTTTCCTACCAAAACTACTGACTCAATCTTCCTCGATGTATGACTGAAAAGACCTATAATTATATGCTGAATATTTCAAACAGCTGTTCATAAAGATAATATTCCAATGGAATTACATGCAGATGCAGATCCAGCAGAATACATTTTTTTAATGTGGGTAGTTCTACCACTGATTGTCAATTATTGAAGAAGGCTGAATGAATAAGTTTATGTACTTTTTCACAATTCATGGTTTGGGTGTAAAACAGGGAATTAAATTTTCCCTGTTTTGCTCAGGTTTTACCTAATGACCTTAAAGATATTAAAACATGTTACATGTTAATAAGTCAATATTTAAGGGTAACTTTGAACAATACACAACAAAAAATCTAACATTTCTTACTAAAACATTGTAAGTCAAGAACATAATTTGTTCTTCCACTATTATTGTCAATAAACTTAAAGGTATATGACTATGTTAAGCTCAAAAAAAGTTCTATAAAACCAGTTCATTTGTCATCTGAAAAATTCAAATTTTCACTTGAGGTTTTTGAAATAACCAATTCAATTTAATACTCAGTGAAACCAAGTGCCTGGTAAAATGTGCCAGGTGGCAGATGACCTGATACAAAGTACTTGGTGCATCCCTAGATAAGAGAACTTATCTATCAGGTTTGTATTCATTGAAGATATTTATTTGGAGCTGCAGTGTTCAAAACATTTCAAGAGAGCTAAACTGTTGATACAAGAAGAGCATGAAACAAGTCAATGCAAGAGTGATCATCAGGTACAAGCAATATGTTTACATACAAGCTATTACGTCCAAATATTCGTTGTTGCACGTTATATATATTTAGTAAATAAAATGTACAAATGCTGACTGACAGTTTGGAATGATTCAATTCATTTAGGGTTCTTAAGACCAAAAATACTCTATATTCTGGTTTCTTATTGGGAAGTATCCAGTCAGCGGTTTTAACCACAACCTCAAAACGAGGCTGCCAGTTGCTTGATAACTGATCCAGCGGGAATGCAACAGTAAGGCAATGAGTATTGAAATCGAGTTGCAGTGGTTGCTTTTGGTGAGAACAGTACCTAAGCGCTTCAAGGTTCTGTATTTAATGATAGCAGCAGCTCACAGAATCATGATGAATGGCTAAATGTATAAAGGCTTGAAGCGTCTATGCTGCCCAGAGCTTACCCTCCTTACAAAAGGAAGGCTGTAAAAATGTGACAGTTGGACATGTAATGTTCAAAACAAACCAAAATAGGCATACTTTCGCTATAAATGCATAAGAATCAGCGGAATTGGGCTATACCGCCTAAACGGTGACCGGATGGTTTATTGATCGCACAAAATGCCGGAGCCATAGTCAAGGACGCCGGTATGATTGATCACAACTTTCGTGGTGGCAAAAAAAGTGCAATTTGATTATGCAAACACAGTACATATGAAATCTATACTCTACACATTTTAGAGCATATATTTAGCTTACCTGTATTGAGTTCCACCGTGAGTAAATCCGAAATAATTATTCGTAGCCATTTTACATATACACGCTGACAAAATTGCAAAACACTAGAGGCCTCTGGCGGGTTTGGCTTGATTCAAAGTAATCGGATGATGCGCACAAGTCTTCTGCGCAGACGTTGAAAGGTGAACGACTTGACTTTAGAACCGGATGTTTATCAAAGACATACGTTTACATTTTCATAGAAATATTCAAGGAGGGCACATGATGTAAAAACAGGTTGGAAAGGTTGATAGTCGCCATATTCAAGGTTCAAGAATAGGATCGACGGAAACTTTCAATAAGTTAGTATTGGCGTATCAACAAGTCTTTGTCGTCGCGCCGATGGAGATAAAATTAAGTGCACCTAAAAACGAGCAGTATTGGAAAGTTTTCTCACAGGGTTATTACTACTATTCCAAATACGAAAATGATTTGTAGTTTTTGATAATCGGTCCAGTGGCGGTGGAACTAGGGGCAAGAAAACAATAAAAAAATCACTTTATAGGGGTGGGAAAGGACATACCTCAATTTATATACATATTTAAATGTGAAGGTCTGTCAGCATGACGCCTGAACCACAATACGGAGAGATGTAAATTTTTTATTTGTACTCTTATTAATTAATACCAGAGGAAGGTTATGGGTGTGGTTTTATCTACAAAATCATGGCCTATTTTGCAGTGACATTTGACAATACTTAAAATAAAGTGTCACAGCAAAATGACAGTCAACTTGCATGCTTAGGAACTTTGGTTAATTTATTAGTGGCACCATCACCTATACGTTCTGGAGTTAAAAACGCCAGGCGAAAAGCCAGTTAAACATATTTTACACATCGTAGATTTCCTTGTATATTCGCCCGTAGAACTAAAAGATTTCCAGCAGGTGACTGTGGATATACCTGAGTCGACCGAGATGTGAGTCTGTGTTTCGTAGTCGGTGGTGGCTGTCGTTATGCTGTGTCTGGCGAGGTTGGTCATAGCAAAGTTGCCAGATCGTCAGTGCTGTCGTAGAGCAGGGGAAAATTTCTAGATCTCAATGTTGTCAAATGGGTAGGGTCTATAGACTAATTGTCTGGGACCGTTTGACTAACTTGATCAATTTAACTTTTTGTTATACATGTTTGTAGCTAACTTCTGCCTCTGAAAGGTTTTTTGTAATTACTTGAATCATATTGATCTAAAGAAATGATCAAAAATTTTAAAGACGGATGACTGTACTGCCTATTAGTTAGTTACAAAAAGGGCACAAATCATCCTATAGGTATTACGGAATTTTAACAACATTCAGTTATAATGCGTACTCTGCGCTCAATTTTCGATAAATATTTATCGAGAGCATCATCTGCTATTATAAATGTCATACCTGATTTCTTGTAACTTCCTTCGAGGAATTGAAACTTCGAAGCCAAAATCAGTCCGATTCTCAAATGAATGAAAGTTGGTCTTTTGTTGGGGAGGAGCATCATGTGGCATCGCAGAGGAATTAGAATTTGATATAGTATGAATCTATTATCACAAAATCATACAGTATGTATGAGAATACGTTGACTAATTTTATATTGTAATTTCGAATGTGATTCCATTATCCAATGCTGTCGATGCCACTTTGGTACACAATGTATAAATTATTTATTAGCATTAATAAATTCATACTAAATATTCATTGCTTATTGCTTGTTATAATGCATATATAATTAGCTCATCGTACGCACATTTAGAGTGGGAAGTGGCATTACAAAACAAACAAACAATCATCATCTGCCAAACGGGAACATTGCGATTATTTGAGTCAAAGTATACGAAGTATCAATAATAAGGTCACTCAGCCAATAAACCAGTGGCCACCTCTGTAAGCTGATCTAGAAGGAATTTTTAAACCTTCAAGCTCCTTTATGGAAGGTAAGAAATGTCGTACTCTCCGATTACATACAAACCATAATTCGAACATCGTAACCAAGTACATACACATATCGTCCAACTTTGTTTGATAATCTCCAAGCATTTGTAGGAGAAACCGCCTGTCTATCGACGGTGTTGCGAGTATACCATTTGCACGATCGGGTTTTTAACATATCTATCTGTGTTCAACGAAGTTTCCTAGTCATATAAACCGGATGGATTAAGTTCACCTCGTTGATAGAGAACTAGATGGTTTTAAAGTGGCTTTACAAAATAATCCCAATAAGCGTCAAAAGGTATATTCACCTTCTTGAAATGTAAATACGTTTTAGATCCTACAAAAATATCATAATAAAGCGTGTTTGCAGCACACACCTTTCTCATCATTTTAAAGCATATGCTCCTAACCAACGTTCTAAGAATATGCGATTTAAGAATATTCGAATCGGAAATGTTCATAGCATATTCACTTAAGGGATATTCATTTGCTCACATATGCTACGAATCACTTTTTTTACAAAATTGATTCGTGAAATTTTAAATTCAATCAAAGTGAACTTTTTTGTTACAAACCTTAGTATTGGATCAACGTAAGCCAGGTGATAGAGGGCCTCAAAACGTATCGAATGAACCCTATATGTGAGGTTCGAAATTTTATAGCTTAGGAGATATTTGCGATTTTGTGAAATTTCGAAAAAAAGGGATAATGAACTTTCAATCCCAATTACAACTAAACCATTACGTTTAGGGTTGTGATTTTTTTTCTGAGATGAGCTTAGTTTTAGCAATGGTTATGTCACTTTTTAACAGAGCTTATTAGAAATCAACGCAAAAAATCTTAAATTTATTTTTTTGTGAAAAATCTCTTCCAACCCTCAACTTTGGTGGGCGGTAAAAAAAAATGATGTTGTATTTCATTATTGATTTTATTGTAAAAACTATTTCAGTCCAGGTAGAATAAACCCTGAAAATTTTAGCTTGCAATGAGTGTATCATGTCACATTCGTTGTTGTGATGCGATAAACGTAAGAAACGCAATAGGATCCTTACCACCTACAAGTACAGAACCTATTGTGTTTAACCGCTGTTTATGGCAATTTACCGACAAATGTGGAAGTTAATTTAATTTAACTAACTTTCAAAGAACATGTTCGAAGTGGCCTCCATTATTTTCTATACACAAGCGACACCTTCTAATAAAATTGTTCTTTGGTCTTTGAAATGAATTTGCGTTTTCCATAATTTTTATTTTTGCTTCATCAATTTTCTGGCGCAGTTGGTTGACATTTGTATATACGTATACAGACGTATAGAGTATCCCCTTATAAAACCCCCATATAAAGAAATCTAGACGATTTAAATCGGGTGACCTTGGTGGCCATCGCATGTATCCATCTCTACCTATCCAACGCCCAGGAAAGGCACACTGTCTAAGTAATGCCGTACATCCCGTGCAAACTGGCATGAGGTACCATCGCATTGAAAATACATGCAGTTTCGAATGTCCAAAGGTACATCCTCTAGCAGCTCATGCAAACTGCATTGTAGAAAAGCAAGATATGACTGACCATTCAACCTGGCGGGCAATTCATATGGTCCAATTAATTTTTTGTTGAGTACTCCAGCCCATAAATTAACGCCGAACTGACATTGAAAGCTGTGTCTTCGAATAGCGAGTGGATTTTCCACGCCCCATGAACGGAAATTGTGCATGTTGAATATTCCATTTCGGTTAAAGTTGGATTCATCTGCCCATAAGATGCTGACGAAAAAAGTTTCATCCTCTTCGCACCTTCTCAACATATTCTCACAAAATTCAACCCGTTGTGTATAGTCGCTTGGAAACAATTCTTGTACTTTTTGTACATGGTAAGGATGCATCTTCTCCGAACGTAGTATTGTGTAAAAAACGGGATAATAAACTTTCAATGGCAATTACAACTAAACCATTAGGTTTAGGGCTGTGATTTTTGAGATGAGCTAAATGGTTAGTTTTCGCAATGGTTATGTCACTTTTTAACAGAGCTAATTAGAAATCAACGCAAAAGATTTTAGATTAATTGGTTTGTGAAAAATCTCATCCGTCCCTCAAACTAATGCTCGAGCAGCTGCTCGCATGTATCGGGAGTATGTGTTTAGAAGAGGTGGACCACAAACGGCTGTATATCCCGACTACCGCGTTTTTCTATGCGTCCATAATGCGTTTATGGAGGGCCGCATACTAGGCACTCATCGTCAGCTAGGAGCGCCGAGGATACGCTCAGAAGAAATAGAAGATATAATAGAAGCAGACGAGAGAGATCCCTCTATAAGCACCACAGCCATTCCCCGAAGCAGAAACATATCCCATACTTCAGTGCACACAATACTACGTTCGGAGAACATGCATCCTTACCATGTACAAAAAGTACAAGAATTGTTTCCAAGCGACTATACACAACGGGTTGAATTTTGTGAGAATATGTTGACAATCCTCTAGATTTCTTTATATGGGGTTTTTATAAGGGGATAGTCTATACGTCTGTATATACAAATGTCAACCAACTGCGCCAGAAAATTGATGAAGCAAAAATAAAATTTATGGAAAACGCAAATTCATTTCAAAGACCAAAGAACAATTTTATTAGAAGGTGTCGCTTGTGTATAGAAAATAATGGAGGCCACTTCGAACATGTTCTTTGAAGGATAGTTAAAGTAAATTATCTTCCACATTTGTCGGTAAATCGCCATAAACAGCGGTTAAACACAATAGGTTCTGTACTTGTAGGTGGTAAGGATCCTATCGCATCACAACAACGAATGTGACATGATACACTCATTGCAAGCTAAGATTTTCAGGGTTTATTCTACCTGGACTGAAATAGTTTTTACAATAAAATCGATAATGAAATACAACCTCAATATTTTTTACCGCTCACCAAAGTTGAGGGATGGAAGAGATTTTTCACAAAAAAATAAATTTAAGATTTTTTGCGTTGATTTCTAATAAGCTCTGTTAAAAAGTGACATAACCATTGCTAAAACTAAGCTCATCCCAGAAAAAAAAATCACAGCCCTAAACGTAATGGTTTAGTTGTAATGGGGATTGAAAGTTCATTATCCCGTTTTTTTCGAAATTTCACAAAATTGTAAATATCTCCTGAACTATAAAATTTCGGAACACACATATAGGGGTTCATTCGATTGAGGCCCTCTATCACCTGACTTCCGTTGATCCAATACTAACTTTACACCCTGTATATGCCAGACATGGAAACATCAATTGCGATGCTACTGTACAGCCAAAATGTTGCGAATATCTAATTAAATGTGGAGGGAGCATGCTATGCGACATATGCCAGACGTTCATAAACAAGTTGCAGGTAAATGTTGCGCAACATGCGGTACATGTGTTGTATTGGAAACGTACCTTCAGAAAGTCTAAACATGTAAGGTTTTTTCTTGAGCGACTTTACTTTTCGTAGTCTGTAAACTTTGATTTGTGCCAAGTCCAGCCTACGAGCCTAGAAAAATATTCTGAAACTTGTTGGAATGGATCACGACCAGTACTCAAAATAAATCGGACAGCGTGCTTTCGTTTCGTGTATATTATTTTTAGACTGTGATTTCGTGGATTCGGATCGATTTTTTTGTTATTTTTATTTCGATATTGTGGGACATTTACCTGTAAAAAAATGGAGAAGAAAATAGCAACAGGGGCTATTGCCAATGGCTAAGTGTAGCTTGATGTGACATTCAAAGCGGTTTCCAAGGAGTGCTTCAGCGAAAGTGAGTATTTCGATAAAACCTCAAGGAATTTTGATAAACAAACTTAACGTGTATGAAATGGCTTCCAGGACTTAGGATGTGATGTTGTTCTAGTGGTACTGTTTTCAGTTTCCAGTAAATATTGCTTGCACAATTTTATTTGGTTTAAGCAAAATTTTTTTTAAATAAAATTATAGGTTTCAATGTAACTAGGATGAGTTTACCTTATGTATTATATTGCTTGGTTGATTCCAGGATCCATACAAAAGAAGTAGATGAAATATCCTCGAAAATGTTTACAAAATGATCTCTTACGCCTTCAAACCACTCACCAAAGTAGTAGATAAATAAAATTTTATAAATTTCACATATTTGTTTTTCAGACTTTATCTATTTTTGTATATTTATGAAATGCAGTTTCTCTACCCACGAGAAATATTTCACATATTATTATTCATAATACAGTTTGAAAAATAACCACACACTCACTAAATACAAACCTTAAAAGAGTTTAAAAAAACGATGTTTAGAAAAAAGTTTCACTCATTCAAAGCTATAGCAGCCGGGTGCTTACTCCCTCCCGATAGTAGTGTTTTTTTGAAAAAAAAGATCAAAAAATGCATATTTAGCATGATTTTGTGTACAGTTTTATGATTTTCATAAAATTTGCTACATCCCTTCCATAAAGTTTTACAAAAAGATACCTTTTTCCGATAAATGTCCCCCAACGCCTCTAAGAAAAATTCTTGCGGGCGCCCATGAACGTTGCTATGACTAACTTTGCCTCTCATCATCCAAGGCAGTACAGAAACCTCTAGCGATTGCGAGAGAGAGAGAGACGAGTCTGTTAAAAATATTATTCCAAGTCTCAAGAGCAAACGTACTACGAATCTATGATGAGTGAAATACTCGTATGTGCAATAGGTGCGTAGAATTACAGGGGTTGGAAGCGGGTATAAAAAAATACCGCCAAAAAATTGAGATGTACCACCCCCACCCCATACAATTCCCTGCCCCCAACTCTTAAACCCTACAAACATTTTTGAGTGATTGAAATTTTTTTAGTTTTTTATCCCTAGCTTCGTCACAAATGGACCGATTTTCAAAAACTACAAAGTGTTTCCGGCCATAGTTTTAATTTTTGGTGAAAATATCATCAAATTCAGAGAGGTACTAAACATACAGACCGACAGAAATAAGTGACATGGTTTTTCGTGATTTCATTGTCATGCGACACCTGAAAAACATATCTT